AAGACATGATAAAGAAGTGCAGAAGCATCTGCACTAATTTTAACCATTCGAGTTTGGCTTACACCAAATTAAAAAAAATACAGAAAGAATTAGATTCACAAATCTCAACACCTTTATTACCAATCCAAGATGTTCCAACAAGATGGAATAGTACATATTTAACGTTAGATCCAATTGAAACTCTCAAAAGATCTATACAACTTTACACAGCAGACCATCCTCATTTAGTAAATTTAATATTAACTTCAAGTGAATGGGAGTTAATAGAAAATGTATTGGGACTTTTACAACCATTTTTTATGATTACTGATACAGTCAGTAAATCAAAATCAATGCTGTCATCAGTAATTAGACATATTTGAGCATTGCATAATTTTCTTGGAAGCCTTGCAGATGATTCTAGAGTCCAATCAATAAAGAAGATGCTAAAAGAACTATTGAAAAAAGATTCATGAGCAATGTTTTATTAAAAGGTCACTTTAATGTATTAATGAGTAAAGTACATGTTTTGTCCACAGCTGTTGATCCAAGGTATAAACTGTCACTTTTCTCTGATGTGCAAAAAGGCTTTTGTCTGAGATATAGGATCAAATAAATGAACAAAAAGAGATTAATATGAATAATGTCAGAATCAGATTCATCTTCCTCGGATAGTTCTAACTCCTCACCAACCAATAAAGGTTGTCAGCCACCTATATCAGCTTTATATGCATCAAGTTTAAGAATGACAATCGAAAGAAAAAGTAGAAAAATTAGAAGAAAAATTATTGGAATAACAGATGAGGAGATAAAAAAAGAAATAAATTGTTTTATAGCTGTGAAAGGAATAGGTAAATTAGAAAATGAAGAAGCAGTATTATAATGGTGAAGCACTAATAGGATTACTATCCTTATTAGTGCTCCATTAGATTACTATCCTTATTAGTGGTTTAGCTATTGTTGGTTATTTTTTACCTTGGTTTTACTGTTGTTGGTTATTTTTTTACCTTGGTTTAGCTATTGTTGGTTATTTTTTACCTAGGTTTTACTGTTGTTGGTTATTTTTTTACCTTGGTTTAGCTATTGTTGGTTATTTTTTACCTAGGTTTAGCTATTGTTGGTTATTTGTTACCTAGGTTTGCCTATTGCTGGTTATTTTTTACCTAGGTTTGCCTATTGCTGGTTATTTTTTACCTAGGTGTAGCTATTGTTGGTTATTTTTTACTAAAAATTGTTTTATTGTTGGTTATTTTTTTAATGAAGTTGAAAAAAAATTTCGGCATTTCTGCTTTAATTATTGTAATTCCGGCCGAAACTGAAATGAACTGAATATCACTAATTCAGGCCAGAATTCCAGTCGGAACGGAATTCCGACCGGAATTCTGGCCTGAATTAGTGATTAATTAATTAGTGATATATATATATATATATATATATATATATATATATATATATATATATATATATATATATATATATATATATATATATATATATACAGGGTTGCATGGTTTAAACCAATTAAAAAAATGTTGGTTTAAACCAAACTAATGTTTTTTTAAAAAGATTTGAACTTAAAACAGGAAACTAAGACAGGGTTAGGCTCACAAATATAACTAATTTTTAATATAGATATTTTTTTTTTAAATCCATGATTTTTTTTTTTTTTTTTTTTTTTTTTTAACTTATCAATATGCTTTATCCAGGATACACTACCTAATAGAACTGAAAAAAAAAATTATCAATATGCTTCATCCAGGATACCCTACCTAATAGAACTGAAATTGGAGGAGAAATATTAGATAGGGTTTACACAGAAGAAATTGAAAAATGTAATGTATTAAATGGGAAAATTGTAGCCATGTCTTTAGAAGGCTGGAGTAATGTACATAATGAACCTATAGTTTGTATCTCTGTAATTACAGATAAAATTAACATTTTAGTAGAAACAATCAACACTTATGGTCATTCACATACTGGTGAATATCTTACACAATTAGCAAGAGAAGCAATAGATTTTGTAAGACGTAAATTTGGATGCACAGTAAAAAGCTTTGTGACTGACAATGCAGCTAATGTGAAATCAATGAGACAAGTATTGTCATCTGAAAAAGATATTCTCATAACTAATGGGTGTGCTGCTCATATGCAGAATCTTTTAGTAAATGATCTTAGCATTGAAAATGCGAGCGAGCATGTTACACAAATAATAAAATATATAAGAAATAATCTTCAAGCTAGAGCAATTTATAAATTAAGCGGAGGAACAAAATTACCACTTCCTACTGAAACTCGCTTTCAGTAGGAAGTAATAATTTTGTATGTGATTCACCTGAAAAATATGTCAACAACTGGAGCATTATTTTTACAATGTTTGAAAAAAATAAAGACTTGCAAACACAGAAGATTTATTGAAAATATTAAAACCAATTGCAGTAGCTCTAGATAAGTTGCAAAGAGATCAAGCAAAAATAAGTGACTCTTGAAATTTTTAAAGATTTGATGAACAGTTTATCATTTTTATCAAACGAAAAAAAAAAATTGAATCTAGGTACCTTCAGAGTGTCGGTGATGCTCATTTCCTGGCAAACACACTAGATCCTAGACATTTTGGATCTAATCTTTCTGAAAATGAAAATGAAGCTGTCATGAATTTTGCAGATAAAGAGTTCAAGAATTTGTTACCAATATTATTCAAATTAAAAGCCAAATCTACTATAACATAATGGAAATTGAAGGTTTATTAAATGCACCAGCTTCTAGTGCTGGAATCAACAGAATTTTTTCAACTTTTGGTCTTGTTTATTCTAAGTTAAGAAACCGATTGGGGGTAGAAAAAGCAGCAAAGCTTGTATTTATATATAGAACATTAAACAATGATATATTAAATAATTTTGATGAAATATAACAATAATATTGATAAAGAATAAAGTTTACTCAAATAAAATACATTATGCTTTTTTAATTTAAAAGGATAACTAAATACCGCATTTTTTAGTAAAAATTTAATTTAAACCAAAACCCATGGATTTTTTTTGTTTTTTTCAAAAAAACCTATTGTTTTTGGTTTTTTTCGAAAAAACCGGTTTCTTTGCAACCCTGTATATATATAAATATATATATATATATATATATATATATATATATATATATATATATATATATATATATATATATATATATATATATGTATGTGTGTCGAAAACAGGCTATTCTAGACCATTTTAGACAGCGTCGATTGTATTTGGAAAAAAATTTGGGCAGCGGTACCTCCTTGTTCTGGCACACTTTAGCCGGAAATTGGCATTTTTTCACGTATTTGCTGTACAAAAAGAAAAAACTGTAAAAAGAAAAAAAAAAAAAAAAAGGTCCTGAATTTTTGATATATATATATATATATATATATATATATATATATATATATATATATATATATATATATATATATATATATATATATATATATATATATATATATATATATATATATATATATATATATATATATATATATATATATATATATATATATATATATATATATATATATATATATATATATATATATATATATATATATATATATATATATATATATATATATATATATATATATATATATATATATATATATATATATATATATATATATATATATATATATATATATATATATATATATATATATATATATATATATATATATATATATATATATATATATATATATATATATATATATATATATATATATATATATATATATATATATATATATATATATATATATATATATATATATATATATATATATATATATACATACATTTGATATTAGGCTGGTACAAAATTTAGAAACAGAGTTTAACACAAATAGATAAATGTGGGAAAATTCAGGATAAAATTTAAAAAAAAAACAACAAAATGTCAAACATTGATTTTTGTTTAATGCTTTTTTCTCCGCTTTTACTTTTCTATTTATTTTAACTTTAAAAATTAATTAGTTTTTACATTGGTTTTTTGTAATACTTTATTTAAATGTTGATTAAAATATTCATTTTTAGCATTTAAATACATTCTTTTGTCGTTTATATTTTAATAATTTTATTTAGAATTTAAATTAAACGCTTGTTTTGCTGTTGAGTTTTTTAAACTAATTTGTTCATAATTTAAACAAAACATTTGTTTTGTTGCTTTTAATTTATTTGAAATAGCAAATAAACATTTTTTTAATTTTTTTTTTTTTTTTTTTCAATTATGAGGTTGGCAAAATATTGCCAAAGTCAGAAGTCAGGTCCACATTGCCGAATGCAGAGCCTAATAAATATTTTTGGTTACAAAGTTTTACCCAAAACTATTAAACAATAAGAGCTAAATATTTTTAAACAATTTATTAACAAGAATTCCAAAGTTAAAATTTCAATTAGGGAAATTTAACCAATAAGTGGAAATTTAACAAATGGAAATTATTCATAGGTTTTGAATTTACATATGTATCAAATATAAAGTTCAAATATATAAATAATGTAGATTCAAATATATAAAAAGTTTGTTGCTGAAATTGACTTGAAACTACAGATTGAAAAAAAAAAAAAGTTAAAGAATTCCCTACTTGAATTTTATTTTGACAAGGCAAAAACTTTTGATTTTTACCTTTTTTTCTTTTATTGCGAAATAAACAAAAAATATAATGCTTGATATGTTTGCTTATATTTAATTGACTTTCATTTAATCACATTTTTTTATTTTCTTAAAAAATAAAAAATAAAATTTTTATTTCTTTAAAACAATTTTAAAATTGCATATATATACAAGTTTTATAAAAAAAAAGTTTGCTTTGGTTTTGGTAGAATACAAACCAAAATTTCAATATTGGTTACATTTGGATGTTCAATCAATTTATGATGTGGATTATTAAGGTTATATCTGTCTGTCATTCACTAACTATTGATGCTAGAAAATAACATTAAAAAAAACAAACAGATTTACAGTATCAATAATGAAGAATAAAAATTAAATACCTGTTGAACCAATTGATCATCATAACGTTTTCTAGCAAGTTGATCAGCAAACTGAGCTCTCTGAAATGAAATTTAAAAAGTAATGAAATGACTTGTTCAATTCTTTAATAAATGATTGCTTTAGTAAAATAACTGCAAACTTTCAGATTTAGAAAGAAGCATATGTAGTTATTAAATAAAAAAGTCAACAGAATCACATCAATCAAAATATTTAATTTTAATTATTAGTTTAAAATATAAAAAATATAGTTTGCCATTTTAATAATTCTTAGATCTCACCAGTCATTATTTTCATTTCAGTTTCACAAACATAAACGGCTCATATGTTTGAACAAATTTTTAATTATTTTTTTAACCCACCTGATTGTTTTGTTTTGTTTCCTCTGCAAGTGTTTTACGTCTTTCCTCCTGCTGCACCCTGGTCTTTTCGATTTGTATTCGCTCCATATTAAGCTCATACTCCTATAAAAAATTAAAAATTTTATCCCAACTTGATGAAATACATTTCATATTTCCAAAAATATTTTAATTTTCATTTATGTTATTAACAAATAAACATTTTAACACCTAAACTAGTAATCAGTCATGCATTAAATGTTTAATAAAAATAACTTAAAATCCATCATACCAGGCATATTAAAGCAAATTTATAACAAATATAACTGCAGATAAACTATTATATAGTAAAGACATAAGAGTGTTTAGGTTATCAGCACACAAAAAAAATGAATCACCTCAACCATCAAAAAAACTATCAGTAAGTTTACACAGATGTACACAAAAAAAACAATTATTTAGTTATAACAGCTCATCTTGTTATGCAAATTCCCTTCTCAAATATACACACATCTTAAATATCAAATGTTAAACCACATTTACCTGATGATTAACCTAACAGAAATCCTAATTATATTCCCAACAACTACACAATTTAAAATAATAATGAATGGCATTTACAATATTGAGATTGCCAAAAAAAAGTACTATTTATTTATTGAATGACAAGTAAGGCATACTTGCATTCATGAATTATGTGATGTAAGATATGTAAAACTCAACTTTAGACTTGTTTGATATTCCATCTGTTTTGTGGATTCTTGAAGACGAGCAAGCTCTAAAGCCTCTTTTGCATACTCTATATAAGAAAAATAAAAAAGAAAATCAATGCATTTTAATTTTAATCCATTTTTAATTATATTTAAAAAAAGTTGATGCAAATATTTATGATTTGAAAAATATTTTAGCGTTGTATCAAAAAATTACAAAGTTATATAATGTAAAAAGTTGTAAATCAAATTGAGATGGAAAAAAAGATTTTAAGGCAAAAATTCAGCACTCAACTAACCCCCTCCCCTCCCCATTAATTGGTAATAAATTAAAAACAAGTAAACTACTTGTTTTTAACACAAATGTTTTATTTAACTTCTAAAAAATATTTTATTAAAAGCCAATTTAAAAGAAAGCGTTTCCTTAATAATTCCTTAATAAATCCTTAATAAAATAATTTTAAAAAAAATACCCGGTGAAGCAAATGTTTTATTTTAATTTTGAATAAAAAAATAAAAAATGGGAAAAAAACCTACTTTCATAGGTGCTTAACACATGTAAAGGAGAATTTATTAACTTTCGGATAATTTATCATACACAACTTCCTACCCTCTATTTATATTGTAATTTTTAATCAACAAAGACGCATTTTACAACTAATAAACTCTCCGAGTAAACCTGCCTTAAAAATAAGAAAATATAAACTCACTAATGAATCATTCTATATGAAATCATCCAGACCGTGTCACCTCTACATCTCAGAATTGATTTATTTTTACACAATTTTCAGTCTAAAAGTAGTGTAAAAATAAATCAATCTGAAGAGACAACAAAGCAAATTTGACATTTAATGCCTTGATAATGGTTTAAAGGATTTTGCTAAAATTTATAACTCAGATAGGTTTTTGTTTGAAGAAATTATTATTACTATTCTTAGAACTCAAGTCTCAAAAAATGCCTCATTTATTCAATTTTATAAAATTAACAAAATGTTGGAACCCTTTTGGAACACACAAGGAAAGTAAAAAAAGTGCTATAAAAGGTAATCAAACATTTATTATAGTTAATATGTTAATAAAAAGAAACTTTATTGAGATACATGATTAAATTCTAAGTTAATTTAAAAACTCATTTATATTTGTTTTTTTAGGCAATGTAAAGATTTTGTTAGACTTAATAATGCATATGAAATGCCAGTTTGGAAGTTTTGTACCAAATGTTATAAAAAAAAGCAGTAGAAACTGATGTAGATTTTAGTTCACAAGAGGAATTAGCATCAAAAAGAGAGAAAGTAAGTTAAGTTTGATACCTCTATAAAATGCTTTAAAATACCTCCATTTAATTATAGAATGTTGTAGAATACCTATAGAATATTCTAGAATACCTCTATAGAATACCTATATAGAATTGCTTGGGATTTCACCAGTCAAATTGAAAAGTGTTCCAAAATACTGCAAAAAACCTGCTGCAAAACAAGTTTGGCAACACTATAGACAGAGTTGCAAAAATGATTTTATAAGCAGATACAGATGAAGCTTCTTTAACAGTATCAACAAACAGTAGTGGCGAATCCAGAAATTTTTTGCAAATACTGTTTGTTTGTTTTTTCCAGTGATGGGAGAGGGATGTTCTTGTGGTAACAACACACCCCTGCCCTGACTATAATTTTTAAATATTTTAATGTTCACACTCTTAATTATTTTTTTATTATTCGTTTTTTTTTTTATTATTATTGTGTTCATCTTTATTTCTTTATTATCCTAAGTAATTAAAAAAGATTCAAAATAGTATCTCGTAAAAAAGTAATAAATAAAAAAATTAAAAAAATAAAAATAGTATATCCTTTATAAAAAAAAAAAAAAAGGTATTTCTTTGAATACATTATTTTGCGGTGGGCAACTTTTTGGTATGCTTGGAAAAACTATTTTATTTGATATTTTAATAAAATTTTAAGTTGAAAATATTAACAAATAGACTATTTTACAAATGATCTATTTGTAAATATTTATTTAAAATTGTTTAAAGTATTATAAACATTAAATACCTAAATTTTAGTAATTTAATTTTAGTAGTTATAAAATCTTTAAAATACTTTAAACAATTTTTAATCTATAATTACAAATACTATAATATTTTCAAAACTAAATGTATATATATTTATGGAAATATAAATGCATTTTGTGTAACTAAGAACATCTTATGTGTTTAAAAAGAAATTCATTATTTGTAGGTGCGTACAAACAATGTGCATAATATAAACAAATGCGGTAGTGGTGTAGTGGTAGAGCGCTCGCTTCATAAACGAGTGGTTCCAAGTTCGATCCCCACCACGTCCCTGGTAGTACCGCACTCAACTCGTTTCTCCGCGCAGCGGCCTTGTTCGTCAAGGTTCATGTTTCGGAGTTTTAGAGTTGAGAGAGGGTTATAGCCGCAAATAAGTAGCCTCTTCGCCTGTAGTGGCCTTCTCGGCCTTGAGGAGGTGAATTAAAATAAAAAAATAAAAATAAAAATAATGTAGATAATATAAACATTATTTAGATGCAAAAAATGTTTAAAAATTTAAATTTTCAGTAATAAAGTAATATAGTAGCGTATTACTTTAGATGTTACAATGATAAAATTTTGAAGCACGGCTGAGGAGATTGTGGATTCAAAGCCTCCAAAGCAGACTTGACCAGAAAGGCGTGCAAATTCACGTCATAATATGACCACACAAATGCTCCTTGATTTTGATAACTTGACCACGGCTGTTAATATGTTTTGAAAGTTTGTATACATTTTAAAAACGCATTAAAAAATTATCTTGACTATAAAAAAGCTTTAAAAAAACTTATTCTAGAAGAAGCAAATAAATCTTGATAAAAAAAAATAACGAAAATTAAAATAAAAATAACTTCACTAAGACTAAATTAAAAAAATAAAACTTAACTAAAATAAATAATAAACAATAACAATAAGATTATCTAAATTACATTTGGAATAAATAACTTTGAACCATTTATCTTTACTAATGTTTTTATAATTTAATATTATGTGAAAAGTTTTTTTAGATAAAGTAACAACTTACATCTAACGATTGTTTAACAAATACGCACATTTAAAAGTTAAAAAAAAAATCACAAAATAAAAAATAGTGAAATCGTTTATTTAAAAAGTTGATATGATTTTTTTTTTTTTTATTTAAAGATATTCAAACGGCTTTCAAAAAGTTTGTCTTTTTTTTTTTCTTAACAAAATATTTCCACATTTCAAGTTAATCAACTTTAATGATTTTTATATAAAGTTTTTTGAAGAGACTGCTGTTTAAAGTTGTCTCATTAAATTTAAATTATTTTTTTTTATAATTTTTATTTTTTTAATTTACTTGTAAAAAAATCTTATATAATTAAATAATATAAATAAAAATTTATGCAACTTTCAATACTTTAATTAATATCATTAGCTACTCGATTTAAAAGCGTTTTGTTAATATAAAAACGTTAGTAATGATAAATGTGTTTAAGTTATATATTTTCAACGTAATTAAAGGTTAGTTTTTTAAGCGCATTGTTTTAAACTGTGATTGAATTGTCTAAACAAAATATTATTTTTGTGGTCATATCAAGACTTGAAATTGATTTTTAAAAATTCAAATTGAAAAAAAAAGTTTTCTTTTTTTTTCAATTTTTTTTTTTTTTTGTTTCAAAGTAGTTTTATGTTTTTAACCATTACTGTTATTTTTTTTTTCAAAGTTTATTAGAAAAAGTGCATCAATGCATATATAAGTCAACTGTTATAGATGTAGTCACAGTGGAGTATACATACACCAACTGAAAGTTTAGGTTTTGACAAACATTTTTTAATAAAAAAAAAACATTTCTATATATATTTAAATAGGGTTTACAAGCTAATTTAGTTTATATTAAAAAAATTAATAAATTTGAATGTCTGTAAATTTTACAAAGACTATATATTTTTTTCCCATTTATATTATTTATATAGTATTAAATTTTCCCAATAATATGGATAACATTAAATAACTTTTTGATTATCTTCAATAGTACAAAAAGTGAAACTATAAATATTTCTATGTTTAGTTATACAATGGTTGTTTATATGACGCTTCCACTTAATATTAAACAGATTGAAAAATTAATCAGGTGCAAAGCATCTGTGAAATGAAAACTAGAATCAGTGAAATGAAAACTACAATTAGTGAAATGAAAACTACAAAAGAATAAATTGAATAAAAAGATTTATAAAAAACTGGTTGAAAAAAAAAAAAGAAAAATAGAATTTAAATAAAGAACTTGTTAATACCTAAATCCCTTATTTAATATATATGGAAATTAGACACGATATATTTGGAACTTGGTGTCGCTGACCAAGCTCATGCTAACATTTTGAAAAAAGTAAATATGATTTAAAAAAGTAAAAAAAAAAAAATTAATTATAAAAAAAGTGGTCTGTAACAGTACAAACAAGTATTCAATAACTAATTATGCCATTGTGTCTTTTATACACTCTTTTTTGTAAGTTATATATGGTTTTTAAAATCTAGTACAAAATTTCCCTAACAGAAATCTTCTTTGTTCAAATAAAAATAAGAAAAATTCAAGTTAACGATTACACCATCGGTCTTTGCATGGCTAAATTTCAGTACAACACAATAAAGTAATATACAAGCACAGCGACACAGTGAGCACAGCAACACAGTGAGCACAGCTCTTTTATAATATTATTAGATTCAAGTTTATTTATCATGACAATAATCAAATATTATTGTTAAACTTGAAATTTATGAATTGTTTATTACAAAAATCTGAAAGAACATAATTAAAACTATTTTAAAATAGTTCATTTAGTTGTGAATAAAGTTTCCCATTCAAGCTCTTTTTTTTTTTTGCTTAAATAACAATTTATCTAATATAATTACTAACTTGCACTGTCCAACTCTTTTGCAGCTTTTGCAGCTCTTTCCAAACCGGAAGGATCAAAATTTGACCAAGGCCTTGGTTTATTTGGCTCTTCTCCACTACTACCACCACTAACGCCACTGCCTTAAATCAAACATTTTATAGATAAATACAATACAAAAATTATCTTTCATAATGTAAAACCTCATCAAAATATACTATCAACATAAACACTTTATTCCTAAACATAGATTAAATAATGCTGAACTGATTAATTTTATAATATCAATAAAAACTTATAAAAACAACATAACAAGCTAAACATAACAAGCTAAAATAGTAAAACAATAATATACATAACGTATTTTTAAAAATATTAATAAAAAATTAAAAATTCACCTCCTGCAGCAGGCGGAACCATATGTTGAAAATCTTGTGGAGCTGTAGGCTCCTTATTTAATCCAAATATCCAAGACATCTTAATATGACTTACTAAAATATATTTTTAACATCAGTGACTATAAAAAAATTTCACTACAATAGTTAATTGAGATACTTACAACATTATAACAAAAACTAATAACATTTATACCATTTATAGCATACTTGCTGTCATGACCCGTTCGATACGGGTTGTGGTAAGTCTATTTCACACCCGACTATTTCTAATCTCGTTCAAAATTTATTCTCTTTACTTTAATTAATTTTAGTAAACGGCAAAAAAAAAAACAATTCAAAGTTCTGGTAGTAGGTAAAATGCAAACATTTTTGCGAACCATAGATCTATTGGTTGTTAAATTATAATTGATTTAAAAGAAAAGTCTAATTTAAATAAAATATATCGAATACCATTATATTTAATTTAAAAAAATTGATGAGCAAATGTTTTTAAATAGCATAACTGCTGTGGTTATTAAAATGTCTTGGTTCGCAAAAAAGTTTGGAGTTCACATTTTATTGACTACCTAAAGTTCTTGCCTTTTGGTTAACAATTAATTTATTATACTTATTTAGTATTTATACTTATTACATTATTACTTATTTACTTCAATATTGTTTACATAATAAAAGTGTCTTTAGCATTTAAGACATGTGTGTAACATTATTCCAGGTGTTTTTGGAAACTTAGGCAATGATAATAATATTTTAACTCTCTCATTAAGATCTATTTAAAAGCAAATTTGGATATTGAAAAATGGGCCCAAGAGACCTAATTATTTCAAACAAGTAAGATACTTAATGCAAATGGAAACAGTCTAGATCATACTAAAGGTGATAAAAATAGAAATGGTTTCCATTCATATATAAAAATTTAACAGAAATATAAAAAACAACGCAAAAATAGCCAGTATATCCATAATTCCGAAAATAAAAATATAGAAATTTATTTGGGAAACAAACAAAAAAATTTTCTTGAGATAATATAAAAATATAAACTTTAAAAAAAAACTACAAAAAAATTTTATATTCAACATAAAAAAGTATCAAAAATACTTATAAAAACAATTTAATTTAAAACATTCTTTCATTATTATATATCTTTTAACAAATGGTATGAAGGTTATGAAGCTTCATTTTAGCTTTTTGAATACAATCAACATTCAGAACATTTCTTAAATTCTGCTATGTAGGAACTTTCAAAATCATAGGAGAAAGAACTCGACCTAAAAATGGAACAAAATTATTATTGAATACACTTAATACAGATTAATTTGTTATGTATTCTATTTATTTAAAAGAAAACTCAAAAATGTGACTAAACGATAAAAAATAAGAAACTTACATTGTGAGGTTGTTTATCTTTTGTGAAAGTTTCAAAATTTATTGTTGCAAGTTAAGATTAACAACTCTTTTTAAAAAATCAAGCCTAAGAATAAATGATCACAATACAATTAAACCTTTGTTTTTATTTCAAAACTGAATCCTTAGCTTTTAGTGAATGATTATATATAGTCAGTTTCAGTAATGAAACTACACAATAATCATTTTAAACTTAACACCCTGACGTGAAAGTAAACCAAGTTTCATCAATGAAGACTCATCAGAAATATATATATATATATATATATATATATATATATATATATATATATATATATATATATATATATATATATATATATATATATATATATATATATATATATATATATATATATATATGTATATATAAATATGTATATATAAATTAAGTGAGCATTTTTAGAAAACGATGAGGGAAAACGAAGAAGAATGAATGAAAATGTTGCTGACCCATACCAAACCCTCAGTCGATGTAGCAGCACTCCACGGCGAGTCAGGCTATTTGTCAGTCGATGTATGTACTGAAGCCCCCGGCAGCACGCTATTTGACATTAGGTGAGTATGACATCATCATGCTCACCTAACTCAGCAGTATAAGATATATATATATATTCATATATATATATATATATATATATATATATATATATATATATATATATATATATATATATATATATATATATATATATATATATATATGTATATATATATATATATATATATATATATATATATATATATATATATATATATATATATATATATATATATATTATATATACATACACACATATAGGCATATATACAAATATTTTTAAGTACTTAACCATTATTGAAATGACATTAAAGTCATATTGAAATAGCCATTGGTAGGGGTTTCAGCACTTACACAACTGGGGGTTTGGGCAGGTACTAAATATAAAAAACTTTTATTACAGCAATGAAAAAATTTTTTAGTTTTTGAGGCAGTCAAATACGGTCGTCGCTGTCGTAAACGGTCTAGAATAGCCCCTGATATACATATATATATATATATATATATATATATATATATATATATATATATATATATATATATATATATATATATATATATATTGAAAACATAAGTGGAATTTATTTTTCACAATTTGCTTTAAACAACCTATCCATTATTTCAGCTGATTTTCCTAATTCCATTATAAATACAAACATCAGCTATGTATACATTAGCAAAATGTGGTTGTCCTACTGATGATGAATATAATATAAAAATATTTTTTGAAGTTTATTATCATGATTCTTTATAGATTATCCAGCTCATATCATAATATGAATTATAGCCATGATTTAACTGTTGCTCTTCATAGAATTATGCTTTTATCATAAAAAGCATGAATTGTTTTGCACATAGGTTAGGACTTGTTCCAATGCATCAGAATATTAGTTTCAAGTACAAATTGGTTGATATATTTTAAATTGGTTATCTAACCAAAAAGATCTTGAAGTAATTATAGACTTCCACCAAAACTACAAAAAAAAATCATTATCAGAATCATCCATGTAGCAAATACTAGAACATACTTAATTTTAAAATGTTTTAAAGCTTTTTATCCAAGTATCTTTATACGTGCATTTACCACTTATATAAGACAAATTATGGAATATTGCTCTCCAGTTTGGTTGCCACACCAACCCATGTTAACAATCTATTGAAAATATCCAAAAACGATTAAACAAAAAAATTACTTATCTCAGTTGTTTGAGCTATTATAGCCATATGCTTAGTTTAGATTCTCTTGTGCTCGGACATATAAAACATGATTTAGTTATATGTTTCAAAATTATGCATAATTTGGTTTGTATGTATAAAAGTTCATTTTTTGAGGTTAACAATAATAAATATAATAATGAGATTTGCAGGCAACAATATTTAAAAATATTGTTTTTTTTCAATGGGTTGTTAATATATGGAACAAGCTGTAAACGCAGAAAACATATGCATGCTTAGAAATAAAATAAAATCCTCCAATTTCTATTTCTTTTAAGTAAATGAATGAATAAAATCTTGATTGTTTATAATATTAATTATATTTGTTTATTATGGAGATTGTTTCTATACTTATTTAGAGGTATACAGTCAGTGTTGATTTTTTGGACCTGCATGTCTTTTAGAATATGTAATCTACCAATCTATGATATTTTATTTATTTTAGAAAACCTGCAGTTATCAAAATATGATAACTGCAGGTTTTCTAAAATAAATAAAATAGTAATTTTAGTAAGAATCTCCCCTTTTTTGTTTGTAAATGTGAAAACAATAAGCAATTTTACTTAAGTAATAGTTTCTGATTATATAGAGAGGAAAAAAAAGTTTAATCTTAGAAAGTTTTTAGTTTTTAGTTTTAAAAAGAAAATTTAAATAAAAACTCTGAACAAAACAACTTAAATAAAAATAGCATAATGTATAACAAAATTTTTATTTAAAAACTTTTTTTTATTATTGCTTTTTAAAGCAGACGTGTATTTTAGGCATCCCTTTTTAGAAAGTTTATAAAAAACGAGTCGCGTTTTAAGCACAACATTTATTGAAAACCATACTCTAACCCTGATTCCAACAATAAAATTTATTCTATTAAAAGCCATACCCTGACCAAAACTCTAAACCAAACCCGAAAAATTAGGGTTAGGATTTGGTAAAGGTATGGTTTTCAGCCATATTCATTTCATATTAGACTTTTTTATGAACTAACTAAAGAGGGGTGCCTGAAACATATTTTCCCATTATTTTAGAACAAGTTTTTTCAGTTTGTTATAAAATATTATAGATATTGTATTGTGTATAATAACACAAGTCCATATTATTTTGCATTACCACAAATATATATTTATATATATATATATATATATATATATATATATATATATATATATATATATATATATATATATATATATATAAATATATATATATATATATATATATATATATAAAATATAAAAAAATAAAAAAAAATAAATAAATATATATATATATATATATATATATATATATATATATATATATAAAATATAAAAAAATAAAAAAAAATAAAAATATATATATATATATATAAAATATAAAAAAATAAAAAAAAATAAAAATATATATATATATATATATATATAAAATATAAAAAAATAAAAAAAAATAATATATATATATATATATATATATATATATATATATATAAAATATAAAAAAATAAAAAAAAATAAATAAATATATATATATATATATATAATATAAAAAAATAAAAAAAAATAAATATATATATATATATATATATATATATATATATATATGTATATATATATATATATAAATATATACATATATATACATATATATACATATATATATGAAGACCACACGGGTAAAACCACAGATGTCCACTTTTTGAAAATTTCAAGTTTTATATATTTTTATGATATTTTAGTATTAACCTATTTTAATTTAAAAATTCATAACAAAAAAACTATGTTTTAAGGTTCTATGGTCATTTAAAAAAAAGGGCAACTTTGAAACAACCACTGTTGTCCAATGTTTACCGCGTAAAAAACAAGTTATTTTTAACTAAACCAATGATAATAAAAGCGTAAGTCACATGACTAACTTTTCGGATGAAGTAAACAACATTACGTTCACAGAAAAACATTTTAAAAAACATTTTGATTTTTTAAAATGTTTTTCTGTGAACGTGAATCGAATTGTTTTTATTAAAAGAGG